ATACAGAGCTCCGAGCTCCAACATGCAGGACTAAGTTAAATAAAACAATGAAAATAGAAATAGTACAATATACATAATAACAACTGTAGCAGTGATTAATAAATACATGTCCATTGGGGTGGACATTGACCATAGGGGGAGCAGCAGTCAGACTAGAAATTATTGGCCAGTCTTCCAGTTTTCGCCATAATGCTCCTGTGCCACCTGCGTCTGAGTAAGGAAAATGGGAAGAACAGGCCATGGTTCGGATGGCTGAGGTCCCTGATGTTCTTCTTGGCCTTCCTGCGACACCTGGTGTTGTAGGTGTCCTGGAGGGCAGGCAGTGTATTTTGTAATTTGTATTTATTAGGGATCCCCATTAGCTGCTGCCAAGGAAGCAGCTACTCTTCCTGGGGTCCAAACATATTAAAACACTTACACTTACATATAAAACAAAATATAAAACAGTACATCATATAACATTATTACACCACTACCTATCTACAATACAAAATGTTTAATACCACCATACAACAATATCACAATGTGTGCGTATGCATGTGTCTATAACTTTGTGTGTGTCTCTTCACAGTCCCCGTTGTTCCATAAGGTGTATTTTTACCAGTTTTTAAAAATCAGATTCTACTGCTTGCATCAGTTACCATCAGTTACCTGATGTGGAATAGAGTTCCATGTAGTCATGGCTCTATGTAGTACTGTGCGCCTCCCATAGTCTGTTCTGGACTTGGGGACTGAAGAGACCTCTGGTGGCATGTCTTGTGGGGTATGCATGGGAGTCCGAGCTGTATGCCAGTATTCCAAACAGACAGCTCGGTACATTCAGCTTGTCAACACCTCTTACAAAAACAAGCAGTTATGAAGTCAATCTCTCTTCCACTCTGAGCCAGGAGATACTGACATGCATGTCATTAATGTTAGCTCTCCGTGTACTTTTAAGGGCCAGCCGTGCTGCCCTGTTCTGAGCCAACTGCAATTTTCCCAAGTCCCTCTTTGTGGCACCTGACCATACTACTGAACAGTAGTCTAGGTGTGACAAAACTAGGGCCTGTAGGACCTGCCTTGTTGATAGTGTTGTTAAGAAGGCAGAGCAGCGCTTAATTATGGACATACTTCTCCCCATCTTAGCTACTGTTGTATCAATATGCTTTGACCATGACAGTTTACAATCCAGGGTTACTCCAAGCAGTTTAGTCACCTCAACTTGCTCAATTTCCACATTATTAATTACGAGATGTAGTTGAGGTTTAGGGTTTAGTGAATGATTTGACCCAAATACAATGCTTTTAGTTTTGGAAATATATAGGACTAACTTATTCCTTGCCACCCATTCCGAAACTAACTGCAACTCTTTGTTAAGTGTTGCAGTTATTTCAGTTGCTGTAGTAGCTGACTTGTATAGTGTTGAGTCATCCGCATACATAGACAAACTGGCTTTACTCAAAAATGTAAGGGGCCTAGACAGCTGCTCTGGGGAATTCCTGATTCTACCTGGATTATGTTTGAGAGGCTCCCATTAAAGAACACCCTCTGTGTTCTGTTAGACAAGTAACTCTTTATCCACATTATAGCAGGGGGTGTAAAGCCATAACACATACGTTTTTCCAGCAGCAGACTATGATCGATAATGTCAAAAGCCGCACTGAAGTCTAACAAAACAGCCCCCACAATCTTTTTATCATCAATTTCTCTCAGCCAATCATCAGTCATATGTGTAAGTGTGCACCCAATGGTGCGTTCAGCTGCGTGCATCACCCTCTGAAGCGCCTTGCGGTCCGCAACGGTGGAGTTGCCATTCCAGGCTGTGATGCAGCCTGATCTATGATCAGGGGGTACTCTGTTTGGGGTAAGGGGATCCAGAGGAGGTGAAACACACAACAGCGAAGTTAGCGCCGCATCAGGTGTTCCTCATGGGGCTCAATAACAAACCTCCTCAATTCTGATTTGTCAGCGCTTCTCACCCATATGACAAGCATAGAAACATTAATAATATAATGAGAGACAGAGAGCACCAGGGCTGTTACTCTGTGGGCAAAAAGACAAGGGACATATCAACCTGGTGTCGTGTGTATGTGGACTTACCTCACTAGAGGTTTTCATTCAAACTCAGTGAGCTCTTGGAAGAATGGGGCAAGGTAGGGATTGAGAACAAACAGCTGGCTTCCTCTGGGCCACCTTGTCATGCACTTTGTTCCATCTTCAGGATTCATCATCTTGGGTTGAGTCAAACCTACAGCATATATCCAATATAGTTTATGAAATCAATAATAGGCCTTGAACATATACAAATAAGACAGCTAGATACACCTACTTCAAACCCTAGCAAACTAATACAACATTGCTATAGCCTACACAATATCACAGATTATTTTACCAGACTCACAACATTTTCCTTTCTAGCTGTGCCACCAAATATTTACGAACTACTGGTAAAGTGAACAGGTTTAGCTAATACTGTAACATTATGGAACAATGTTTTTTAAATTAAACAAATGGTTAGAGGGAGATGCAATATGGACAATCCCGGCCTACAAAACAATGATTTATGTTGCGCAGATGAGAGCCAAGTGAACCGAATCACACAGGGTTGTGACAGCTAAGGAGGACACTCTGTCCCGGTATTTTAGCCATCTAGATGGCTACCAATATTGGTTATTTCTTGTGTAGGCTGCTATCCTACTTGACATACTGTATAATCCGCCACGTTACTAATTTCCACAGCCGGCACTGTGCTAGGCTACAGCTGACCAGTGGCACTGCACCTTAGGTCGGCAGGCACCTCGAAACAATATTGTGCACTGGTCATTCGCGTCAGCTTTAGCGGCTCGCGAGTACGGCCCACAACGCTGTTTATGTGTAAAATGCGGCCATCTTTTGAACTGCTAAAAACAAGCCATTTTCTCTGTAGTAATAACGGTCACGAATCTGCGCTCAGTGTATTCTCTCAGAGGCTGCGATACAGCCTGTAATCACAATATTCTCTCTGTGATGTTTTTCTAGGTCGCACAGCTAGATATCTATGAGCAATTTAGAGCAGACCGAAATGGCTTTTGTCAACTTGAACTAGCTAGCTAGCAAACGTTAGCCAGCTATCTAGTTACGGTAGGTAAGGAAACATGCAGTAATTCAACATTGGCTTGCAATAAATATGCTTATAAACAATGCAAGGTACCTACCCAGTAGCTGCTGAAAATATTCTTACACTTCACAGCCGCTTTAAGAAGATATTTACTAAACTAGTCTGAGCTTCATATGTCTCACCTGACAGCTTGAGGTTGGCGCCTGAAACTGATAATTTGAATCTACAGTAGGCATAAACTATTACTGTAAAGAAATACAGTATGTTAGAAGAATTTTTACAGGAGGCTTCAGAATTACAGTCAATAACAGTCTTTTTCAGCATTTTGCCCATAATGCAGTGCAATCTTCAGCATGAATGCTGTAAAATACATGAACGGTATTATACTGTGCATCCTACAATGTTTTACTGTTAAAATTACACAAAAGTCTTACAGTGTAGTCAGTTGCACAACTGAATGCATTCAACCGAAACATGTCTTCCGTATTTAACCCAACCCCTCTGAATCAGAGAGGTGCGGGGGGCTGCCTTAATCGACATCGGCGCTCGGGGAGCAGTTGTTGTTGAGGGTTAACTGCCTTGCTCAAGGGCAGAATGGTAGATTTTTCCACCTTGCCGTCTCGGGGATTCAAACCAAGGACCTTTTGGTTACTGGCCCAATGCTCTTAACCGCTAGTAATCTTTGTATGCCTATGAACTACTAATGACAGACTCGTTGCACTCAATAAAACTATATGAGTGTTCAACGGTGTGCATGTATCTATCTTTCTTTCATGCCTCTGCACTACTCTCATAGAGCTAGGTTGCACAGAGGTAGTAATTGAACTGTAGTAACCTTAGAGATGCACATGGTTTCAGTTATTAGTCAGGTAACATGAAAGGAATAGGATGAGTTAGTATTATAAGGATAGCCACCCACAGCTAGGTTTAATTCTTCACAATCTTTGGTAGCAAATGATGAACTTTGATAAGTGACGCTTTGGGATTTAGCTTCATGTATTAGGCTCATATCACTTTGGATCTTAAGACCTTCATTTACTTTGAAACCACCCACCAGTTTTCAGTTGAGCTTTTCTTGTGGATTTAATGAACGGCATAATCATATTGATTCTCCTGCTGTTTATTTGCTGGCAAGATATCGTTAGATACAATAATGTGTAAAAATAGATGGCTGCACTGCACAAAATGTATTTGCATTTCATTTAGTACCGTATTGTTTTGTTGATTTTGAAGCCTGGTTTTCATGTTTGGGTAAAAAGCAAGTATGGGAACATAATTAGTACAATCACTCAACAGCCCAATAACACATTACGTTATGGTCTCAGTTGCATATTTGCAGAGGCACTGTTTGCACTAACATCAAAGCTATTAAGAATATATTGCCTTGCCAAGATGCGGTTTCATTACATTTTTTCCAATCCAATGGTTTGTATTGCCAAGGATTTATTTCCAGGACTGAAGAGAAAGGGTTTTGACTTAGCTGTCAGAGCTTCTCTTCTATTAGATCCCTTGGGTGAGATATAGACGTGCTGGAAACTGAAAAGTATAAATACCTTGTCAGTTTTAAGTGTGAAGAAGTGCTTTCAGTCCAACGAACTTCCAGATTACTAAGGCTACGTCACCGCTAACATAAGAGGCAATTATCTATTAGCAGCATGTTGCCAAACCATATGCACACACATACACACATACACACACACACACACACACACACACACACACACACACAAGGAATAAATTACTGCTGTGTTAAATAAACCAAGACACAACAAGACAGCAGCCATCAATCACTGTTCCATTTTGTCACATCATGAGTAGCCCTCCGGAGAAAGACAGCTCAAAGTCAAACATGGGCAAACTTTTAAACCAACTCTATAAACCCTGTTCAAAACTCATCAATATACGTTAATGTACAGAATATGTCATGACAAAAGTGCAACCTGCAAACCCCATCAGTGGCTTTCCTTACTGTTATAATTTGAGGTATACTGTATTGGTTTGAAGGTATAGACATGCAAAATAGTATTATAATGTACGTCGTCCATCCCCTATGTGATGTAGTACCACTATTGTTTTCTTACTGCTTATAATTACAGCCAGGTTCTCCCATCCAAGTATTTTTTGTGTGATGTCATTTTTCATGTCACTCAAACAATCCTTATTTTCCAAACATGTATATCAAAATATTCTCACTGATACAGGTCTGCAGGTCAAATATTCAGTTCAAATACAATTTTATACCAACCTCAAAACAGTGTTATAGATATGTGTCTTATGAACCATTTCCCTTTGTGTTCCAGGTCTCCAGGTCATCTTTCCAGAGTACCTCCAGGAGAAGTTTGTCCAGTCGGCTCTGAGCTACATCATGTGTAACGGGGAGGGGGAGTACGTCTGCCAGAACAGCCAATGTATCTGCATGTGTGCTGACGAGTACCCACAATGCAACTGTCCTATCACTGACATCCAGATCATGGAGAACACCCTGCTTGGGCAGGCGGAGTCCTGGGCTACCTCTTACAAGGACTTTGAGAACTCAGGTAAGCAGGGAAGGATATGGTAGCAAATTCTAGTTTACTGTAAGTCTTGTTAGACTACTGTACAGTCTACTATAGTTTTGTTCAGCCATGTGTCTTCGTCCACAAACACGATGGTTGTGGTAAGTGATGTTACTGTTGAGTTCAGGTAACATATTAATTAACATCATGCTTTGGATTGCAATTTAATGTTATTTTAGCCCATCCAGCAACTATATTCCTAAAGTAAGGAAGAAACAAAGATATAGTGGCTTGCAAAAGTATTCACCCCCTTGGCATTTTTCCTATTTTGTTGCCTTACAACCTTGAATTAAAATGGATCTTTTGGGCAGGTTGTATAATTTGATTTACACAACATGCCTACCACTTTGAAGATGCAAAATATTTTTTATTGTGAAAAAAACAAGAAATAAGACAAAAAAACAGAAAACTTGAGCGTGCATAACTATTCACCCCCCCCCCAAAGTCAATACTTTGTAGAGCAACCTTTTGCAGCAATTACAGCTGCAAGTCTCTTGGGGAATGTCTCTATAAGCTTGGCACATCTAGCCACAGGGATTTTTGCCCATTCTTCAATGCAAAACTGCTCCAGCTCCTTCAAGTTGGATGGGTTCTGCTGGTGTACAGCAATCTTTAAGTCATACCACAGATTCTCAATTTGATTGAGGTCTGGGCTTTGACTAGGCCATTCCAAGACATTTAAATGTTTCCCCTTAAACCACTAGAGTGTTGCTTTAGCAGTAGGCTTAGGGTCATTGTCCTGCTGGAAGGTGAACCTCCGTCCCAGTCTCAAATCTCTGGAAGACTGAAACAGGTTTCCCTCAAGAATTTCCCTGTATTTAGCGCCATCCATCATTCCTTCAATTCTGACCAGTTTCCCAGTCCTTGCCGATTAAAAACATCCCCACAGCATGATGCTGCCACCACCATGCTTCACTGTGGGGATGGTGTTTTCGGGTGATGAGAGGTGTTGGGTTTGCGCCAGACATAGCGTTTTCCTTTATGGCCAAAAAGCTCAATTTTAGTCTCATCTGACCAGAGTACCTTCTTCCATACGTTTCGGGAGTCTCCCAAATGCCTTTTGGCGAACACCAAACGTGTTTGCTTATTTCTTTAAGCAATGGCTTTTTTCTGGCCACTCTTCGTAAAGCCCAGCTCTATGGCTTAAAGTGGTCGTATGGACAGATACTCCAATCTCCGCTGTGGAGCGTTGCAGCTCCTTCATGGTTATCTTTGGTCTCTTTGTTGCCTCTCTGATGAATGCCCTCCTTGCCTGGTCCGTGAGTTTTGGTGGGCGGCCCTCTCTTGGCAGGTTTGTTGTGGTGCCACAATCTTTCCATCTTTTAACAATGGATTTAATGGTGCACCGTGGGATGTTCAAAGTTTTGGATGTTTTTTTAGAATCTAACCCTGACCTGTACTTTTTCACAACTTTGTCCCTGACCTGTTTGGAGAGCTCCTTGGTCTTCATGGTGCCGCTTGCTTGGTGGTGCCCCTTGCTTAGTGGTGTTGCAGACTCTGGGGCCTTTCAGAACAGGTGTATATATACTGAGATCATGTGACAGATCATGTGACAATTAGATCCACACAGGTGGACGTTATTTAACTAATTATGTGACTTCTGAAGGTAATTGGTTGCACCAGATCTTATTTAGGGGCTTCATAGCAAAGGGGGTGAATACATATGCATGCACCACTTCTCCTTTATTTTTTATATTTTTCATTTCACTTCACCAATTTGGACTATTTTGTGTATGTCCATTACATGAAATCCAAATAGAAATCCATTTAAATTACAGGATGTAATGCAACAAAATAGGAAAAACACCAAGGGGATGAATACTTTTGCTAGGCACTGTATTTGCCTTAGATTCAGGTTAAATTAACTAAGATAGCAATAAAGAAGATAACAAATGATAAGGATATCCCATGACTAGGCTCCTCTCTTGGCTTCCCTCTCCGGTTTGCGTAGAGGCCAATTATGACTATAGGACCATTTGCATATGGATCTCAGCTAGGCTCTAATGACCGGTCTTAAGCCAGGGCTACTTCCACTGATCTGTCCTCAAACAAAACACCAGATGCAGGTCTTTACAGCATCCAATATCCACAGCAAACAGTGATATAATGGTATATCCACTGACAGTAAGCTCTAAATCCAGCAGTTTTTTATTCAGATGTCGTCATTTTACGTGAGTCACCTTCCATAGAATACACCACATAAAGCGTGCATGTTAACTTCTTGGAGCCAATCTGCAATAAAGTGTGGTATGAATAATTCAGCGGCCCATTCAAACGCCTTCTGGTTTAGAAGAAGGCTCTAGCAGTTAATTGTAACAGTCAATTCTCTCTACACCCCTCAGTCAAGTTTCACTAATCATGCCATAGGCTAAATGTGTGTGAGGAGCCATTGTCACTCAGTCACATAGGGAAGCCACCCACCATGCAATCAGTACAGGCCACTACATGAACCCAAGGGTGAAACAATAACTTCTGTAGATTTTTCAATGCATGGCATTAATGTGAGATGAACCCACTGCATTATATAGCTTGCAAAATAGAAGATGTGACCTTGAAAGATATGTGTGTGTTTGTGTGTTTGTGTGTGTGTGTGTGTGTGCGCGTGTGTGTGTTAAGGGTAATGGTTTTGATGTGTGACTATTTGGTGTGTGGGTGTGACTATTTGGTGTGTGTGTGTTAGTGTGTGTACATTTGTGCGCATGGATGCACGTGTGTGTATGCGTGTGAGCCTGTGTGTGTTGAATATTTGTCTCAAGCAGCAAGCAATTCTTCAAAACCGATGGCATCATTATAAAACTGTTACAATTAAAACTCAATCTGCATCGTTTCAGTTGGTGAAACCCCATCAACAAGCCACCATATTCCACATGCCTAGTGAATGACCCATATAGAGGGGCGGTTATGTCTGGCCACACACATATACACACACATACTCAGCCACATCCCCTGTCTCATCCCCTACTGATCAAGTCAGAGTAGTGAAGTACAGAGGATGTTGGACCGGGATACTCCCAAAGGGAGTCGCTCAGTATCCACCTGACGGGGCTCATACTCATATATTATTAACAAGTAATAAAAGGAGACAAATAAAACCTGACAGCCATACATATATATTTATATATTATAGAGGACACAAATTGAGTTTGAGTCGCTCAAGGTCATTGGCTGCAATATATCCACTGAAGAGATTTCTAAGATGAAGTGCCTACAGTATCAGATAGCCATTTTTAAAAGAATACATAGAAGGGGAGAAAATTGTGTATTCCTATTTAAAGGTAGACTACGATTTGACGCTGATGCAGAAAGTACATTTCTGCAACAACTAAGAGCATTGAAGCATGACCCACTGGGCACAGACATCAGTTCAATGTCTAGTTTTGATTTACATTTGGTTGAGTTGTCAATTAACGTGAATACAACGTGAAATCAACAAAAAATATCACAATGTCATTGGATTTACTGTAGGTTCAAAGTTGGGTGAAAAAGAGACACAATTCAACGTTGATTCAATGTCATCACTTATCATTTTTGGCTTCTTGGAATGACATGGAAACAACATTGATTCAACCAGTTTTTGACCAGTGGTGAAGCTAAACTTCTCTGCTGTTTTGGTCCCCTGGCTACCAAGCTCTAATAGCGTAAAGCGAACCTGTGCACATCCGCAGATACAGTGAATGAATGTGTAAGATGGAAATCTTGCATCTCGCTCATCTCAATATCTGCGGTGCTGCTTGTGGTAACGTCATTTTGCTGAGTCTACCTTTAATGAGAGTATTTTGTTTGATCAGATGTATTATAATCATGTATGCCAATGGTATTTTGAGAGCTTAATTCAAGGCATGTAATGCGTCATGATACACGCAAGCTTCCTTGTTCAGGAAAACAACACCTGAGAACAGAAAGCACAGGAAGGAGACTGATCCAAGGTTGCTCTGACAACAGACAATCTTTGTCTGTGTCCCTCAAGATCTCTTACACACACTCCTTCCCTCTCCCTCCTCTAGATGAGTTTAAGTCGTTCCTGAAGAGGCTGCCCTCCACCCACTTCCTGCCGGTCAGCAGTGTCCACCTCCTGTGGGGCAGTGACTGGGACCTGCAGGCCCGCTACCGCCTGCTCCAGAGCTCCCTGGAGACCCAGAGGCTCAAGATCCAGCGCACCGCCCGCAAGCTCTTTGGCCTCAGCATCCGCTGCCACCACAACCCCAACCACCAGATGCCTAGGGAGAGGTGGGTCTAAGAAGCAGTAAAAAGGCATTATGTAACCCTGCTGCATTGTGTTGTAATGTGTTGTTTTGATGATGCAGAATTTTGGTGCCAATGCTGTGGACCACGGTATCATGAAAGGTAACTTAGAAATTTAGATAAACTGCAACCAAGGTGACAAAATTAATCTGTGAGAGAACTCTGTTAGGTAGGGGATTTTCTGTATTCCGTATCAGTAATGCCTGTTGAAGTACTGTATGCGAAAACTTTATGATACAGTACATGATGCTTTTTGACTTTGAATTTCCCGGCTCTTATAGTTCGGTCCATGAAATCATGTAAACGCCCAATGAACCCCAGTCCTACCTAGTATTTCACAATGCAGGATGAAAAATAATCTAACCATGGGAGCTCTCTGGCCGGGTCAGTGCACAATGTGCCATCACCTACTGTGACTGCAGATAGCACGCTTTGCTGCACACATGGCACTGTGTTAATGCTAATGCTGTCTGAAATGCATTCTAAAATGGAGTCATTCCACCCCATAATATACCAGACAACATGGAGAAAAATAGCACACTAAATACCAGACATAAAAATAAATAAATAATAATGTTACAGCTGCGTGGAATGTCAATATACAAATATAAACAGAGAAAATCCTCAAAATATTCAGTTATGTGGTTAAGGAACGCACAGCTGTCAACTGTCACTAAGGTAGAAGGAACAAACCCACGCTAGGATGCAAGCTTTGGCAAAGGGTTTGTTCAGAAGTGTTATCAAAGCAGTGCAGTGCACACTCCGTGCTCGGCAGAGCACACATCAAGGACGCCTGACGGCACTGTGAAGAGATACTGTGTTTGTTTATTTGTTTTTACATATGTGTGTGTGTGTTTATGTGTGAGTGAATTATTGTGTGTCTGTGTATGTATATATGTGTGTGTGTGTGCTCATGCATCCGTGTCAGTGAGAGATGCACTATGCCAATAGGCATCCTCCCTTCAGACCAGGACCCACATCAGTGTTACTCTTTGATACCACCAATGCAGCGTACACTAAGCATACCGAGATACTAGTGTTTGTAGTATCTTTCCTCTGTAGACATACAGTACACAGGGCTGATATGACACATGTGTAGTCCCTTGCTGTGGGGCTCAGTTCAAGGCACAGGTTTAACAATTGGTGTTTATATTTAAGCACACAGATTATCAGGTGGGTTTACTATGTACTCCCACATCTGTTAGGATGAGTTGGGGTGATATCTTCTTCCAAATGTCATGTACAGTACCAGTCAAAAGTTTGGACACACCTATTCATTCAAGGGTTTTTCTTTATTTTTACTATTTTCTAAATTGTAGAATAATAGTGAAGACATCAAAACTATGAAATAACACATATGGAATCATGTAGTAACCAAAAAAGTGTTCAACAAATCAAAATGACAGCTTTGCACACTCTTGGCATTCTCTCAACCAGCTTCACCTGGAATGCTTTTCCAACAGTCTTGAAGGAGCTTTTCCTTCACTCTGCCGTCCAATTCATCCCAAACCATCTCAATTGGGTTTAGGTCGGGGGATTGTGGAGGCCAGGTCATCTGATGCAGCACTCCATCACTCTCCTTCTTGGTAAAATAGCCCTTACACAGCCTGGAGGTGTGTTGGGTCATTGTCCTGTTGAAAAACAAATGATAGTCCCACTAAGCCCAAACCAGATGGGATGGCGTATCGCTGCTGAATGCTGTGGTAGCAATGCTGGTTAAGTGTGCCTTGAATTCTAAAAAAATCACAGACAATGTCACCAGCAAAGCACCCCCACACCATAACACATCCTCCTCCATGCTTTACGGTGGGAACTACACATGCAGAGATCATCCGTTCACCCACACCACGTCTTAGAAAGACACAGCGGTTAGAATCAAAAATCTCCAATTTGGACTCCAGACCAAAGGACATTTTCCCACTGGTCTAATGTCTATTGCTTGTGTTTCTTGGCCCAAGCAGGTCTCTTCTTCCTATTGGTGTCCTTTAGTAGTGGTTTCTTTGCAGCAATTCGACCATGAAGGCCTGATTCACACAGTCTCCTCTGAACAGTTGATGTTGAGAAGTGTCTGTGACTTTAACTCTGTGAAGCATTTATTTGGGCTGCAATTTCTGAGGCTGGTAACTCTAATGAACTTATCCTCTGCAGCAGAGGTAACTCTGGGTCTTCCATTCCTGTGGTGGTCCTCATGAGAGCCAGTTTCATCAAAGCGCTTGATGGTTTTTGCGACTGCACTTGAAGAAACTTTCAAAGTTCTTGAAATGTTCCGTATTGACTGACATTCATGTCTTCAAGTAATGATGGACTGTTGTTTCTCTTTGCTTATTTGAGCTGTTCTTGTCATGATATGGACTTGGTCTTGGACTATCTTCTGTATACCCCCCTACCTTGTCACAACACAACTGATTGGCACCAACGCATTAAGAAGGAAAGAAATTCCACAAATTATCTTTTAAGAATGCACACCTGTTAATTGAAATGCATTCCAGGTAACTACCTCATGAAGCTGGATGAGTGAATGTCAAGAGTGTGCAAAGCTGTCATCAAGGCAAAGGGTGGCTTTTTGAAGAATCTCAAATATAAAATACAGTTGAAGTCGGAAGTTTACATACACCTTAGCGAAATACATTTAAACTCAGTTTTTCACAATTCCTGACATATAATCCTAGTAAAAAAATCCATTTTTTAGGTCAGTTAAGATCACCACTTTATTTTAAGAATGTGAAATGTCAGAATAATAGTAGAGAGAATTATTTATTTTAGCTTTTATTTCTTTCATCACATTCCCAGTGGGTCAGAAGTTTGCATACACTCAATTAGTATTTGGTAGCATTGCCTTTAAATTGTTTACCTTGGGTCAAACGTTTCGGGTAGCCTTCCACAAGCTTCCCACAATAAGTTGGGTGAATTTTGGCCCATTCCTCCTGACAGAGCTGGTGTAACTGAGTCAGGTTTGTAGGCCTCCTTGCTCGCACACGCGTTTTCAGTTCTGCCCACAAATGTTCTATTGGATTGAGGTCAGGGCTTTGTGATGGCCACTCCAATACCTTGACTTTGTTGTCCTTAAGCCATTTTGCCACAACTTTGGAAGTATGTTTGGGGTCATTGTCCATTTTGAAGACCCATTTGCGACCAAGCTTTAAATTCCTGACTGATGTCTTGAGATGTTGCTTCAATATATCCACATAATTTTCCTTCCTTATGACGCCATCTATTTTGTGAAGTGCACCAGTCCCTCCTGCAACAAAGCACCCCCACAGCATGACGCTGCCACCCCCGTGCTTCATGGTTGGGATGGTGTTCTTCGGCTTGCAAGTCCCCCCTTTTTCCTCCAAACATAACAATAGTTCTATTTTTCTTTCATCAGACCAGAGAACATTTCTCCAAAAAGTACGATCTTTGTCCCCATGTGCAGTTGCAAACCGTAGTCTGGCTTTTTTATGGCGGTTTTGGAGCAGTGGCTTCTTCATTGCTGAGCGGCATTTCAGGTTATGTCGATAAAGGACTTGTTTTACTTTGGAAATAGATACATTTGTACCTGTTTCCTCCAGCATCTTCACAAGGTCCTTTGCTGTTGTTCTGGCATTCATTTGCACTTTTCGCACCAAAGTACGTTCATCTCTAGGAGACAGATCGCGTCTCCTTCCTGAGCGGTATGACGGCTGCGTGGTCCCATGGTGTTTATACTTGTGTACTATTGTTTGTACAGATGAACGTGGTACCTTCAGGCATTTGGAAATTGCTCCCAAGGATGAACCAGACTTGTGGAGGTCTACCATTTTTTTCTGAGGTCTTGGCTAATTTCTTTTGATTTTCCCATGATGTCAAGCTAAGAGGCACTGAGTTTGAAGGTAGGCCTTGAAATACATCCACAGGTACACCTTCAATTGACTCAAATGATGTCAATTAGCCTATCAGAAGCTTCTAAAGCCATGACATCGTTTTCTGGAATTTTCCAAGCTGTTTAAAGGCACAGTCAACTTAGTGTATGTAAACGTCTGACCCACTGGAATTGTGATACAGTGAATTATTGTCACGTTCGTTCATGAACTGGTCAGACCAAGGCGCAGCGTGATATGCGTACATGTTTATTTTAATGAATAAACATCCGACAAAACAATAAACAAACGAAACGTGAAGTCCAAGGTAGAACACAAAACATACCTACACAGAACAAGATCCCACAACCCACTAATGCCAATAGGCTACCTAAGTATGGGCCCCAATCAGAGACAACGAGCGACAGCTGCCTCTGATTGGGAACCACACCGGCCAACATAGATCTAGACGATCTAGATCTAAACCTAGAAAATACAACATAGAACATACCACACAGAAAAGACACACCCTGACTCAACAAATACGAGTCCCCAGAGTCAGGGCGTGACAGTAACCCCCCCCAAAGGTGCGGACTCCGACCGCACAACATAAACATAACAGGGTAGGAGCTGGCGACGCGCACCACTGGCTTGGTGCGAGGGGCAGGAACAGGCCGGGCCGGGCTGGTGACGCGCACCACTGGCTTGGTGCGAGGGGCAGGAACAGGCCGGGCCGGCGACGCGCACCACTGGCTTGGTGCGAGGGGCAGGAACAGGCCGGACCGGGCTGGCGACGCGCACCACTGGCTTGGTGCGAGGGGCAGGAACAGGCCGGGCCGGCGACGCGCACCACTGGCTTGGTGCGAGGGGCAGGAACAGGCCGGACCGGGCTGGCGACGCGCACCACTGGCTTGGTGCGAGGGGCAGGAACAGGCCGGGCCGGGCTGGCGACGTGCACCACTGGCTTGGTGCGAGGGGCAGGAACAGGCCGGGCCGGGCTGGCGACGCGCACCACTGGCTTGGTGCGAGGGGCAGGAACAGGCCGGGCCGGGCTGGCGACGCACACCACTGGCTTGGTGCGAGGGGCAGGAACAGGCCGGGGCGGGCTGGCGACGCACACCACTGGCTTGGTGCGAGGGGCAGGAACAGGCCGGGCCGGGCTGGCGACGCACACCACTGGCTTGGTGCGAGGGGCAGGAACAGGCCGGGCCGTACTGGGAACACGCACCACTGGCTTAGTGCGGGAAGCAGGAACAGGACGGGCCGGACTGGCAACGCGCACCACTGGCTTGGTGCGAGGGTCAGGAACGGGTCGGGCCGTACTGGGAACACGCACCACTGGCTTAGTGCGGGAAGCAGGAACGGGCCGGACCGGACTGGCGACACGCACCACTTGCTTGGTGCGAGGAGCGGGACTGGGTTCCTTTATTAACCCCCGCTCCTTCTGCTGCCTAACCAGCTCCTCTCGCCGTGCCTCTACACTTTCCTTCTACCTTATAGCCTCCTGTAGCGCCTCCCTCTGACCGAATAACTCCTGCTCCCTCTGAACCAATAGCCCCCGTAACATGGTGGCCTCCTCTCCTAACCTGCAGACCCGCCCTTTAACGGCCTCCTGCTGCCTCGTCGTCCACACCGTGTGCCCCCCCCCCCCCCCAAAATGTTCTTGGGGTTGCCTCTCGGGTCTCCGTCGTCGGCACTCCTCTTCCTGTGAGGACTCCTCCGGGAGCCCCCACGAGTTAGGGAACAGAACCTCGTCATCCTCCGACTCCTCAGTATAATACTGTTCCCACTCCTCTTCCCATGGTCTTAGGGACGCAATCTGAAAACCGACCGGGTGCAGTGGTCGGGGCTCTTCTCTCTCGCTCCCCGACCACCCCTTTAGCCCCCCAATTTTTTTTTATTGGGGCTGTCTCTCTGGCTTCCTCCTCGACCGGCGTCCTCTGCGTTGCCGTTGCTCCTCTCCTGCCTGGGTATCTACCTTCGCCCATGGCCCTTTCCCCGCGAATATCTCTTCCCATGACCACAATTTGCCCACCTGGGACATGGCTATTCGCTCCTCCTGGGCACGCTGCTTGGTCCTCGTTTGGTGGGATCTTCTGTCACGTTCGTTTATGAACGGGTCAGACCAACGCGCAGCGTGATATGCGTACATGTTTATTTTAATGAATAAACAACCGACAAAACAATAATGAAACGAAACGTGAAGTCCAAGGTAGAACACAAAACATACCTACACAGAACAAGATCCCACAACCCACTAGTGCCAATAGGCTACCTAAGTATGGTCCCCAATCAGAGACAACGAGCGACAGCTGCGTCTGATTGGGAACCACACCGGCCAACATAGATCTAGACCAGGGGTGTCAAACTCATTTTAGCTCAGGGGCCACATGGAGGAAAATCTATTCCCAAGTGGGCCGGACCGGTAAAATCATGGTATATATAACTTAAAAACAACAACTTCAGATTGTTTTCTTTGTTTTAATACGATCAACATAAAACATAAAGCTGGAGCCTGAGGACAGTGTGTCCAAAATAGTACAAGCACAACATCACTATTAATCATAAAACACCTCAAGTTTATTTGAAAATTCTAAAGAAAAATAACACACAAACACACAATGCCTCAGTGATTCACAGAACTGTTTCACAGATCACAGAACTATATCAGGGTGTCATTTCTCAGGCAGAAATGTAGATAAAAATAATGAAATCCTGTTCCCCAAACAAGTGCAAGAACCACAGAGTCAAGAATAGGTTAAAGATATAAATAAAATAAAATCAATTAAAAACAATAGCACATCAACATAAAAACATATAAACATAAAGCTGGAGCCTGAGGACAGTGTGTCCAAAAGCACAACATCACTATTCATCATAAAACACCTCAAGTTATTTGAAAATTCTGAGGATAAAGAACACACAAACACACAATGCCTCAGTGATTCACAGAAGTATATCACAGATCACAGAACTATATCAGGGTGTCTCATGCAGCACTTTAAGTGGGGTTGCATAGTTTATTTGACTCCTGATACCTGGCATCTTTTAGCTTTCACCAGCGCATCAATATCAGGCGTCACATCCTGAGTGGCAGCCAACTTCAGGATGTGATTCAAGTGCTTGTGCGTGAGCCTTGAGCGCAGCTTTGTTTTATTTATGCTCATTACAGAGAAAACTTGCTCACAAAGATATGTGGTTCCAAACATGCACAACAGTTTTGCAGCGAGGGTTGTCAAGTTGGGGTAACCTGGCAAGAGATTCTGATAAAATGTGTCCAAGCCAGCTGTGGCAAATTTGCCCTTCAAATCTGAGTCACACTGCAAGTCTATTATTTCAAGTTGGATGCTGACGGGCAGATCAGAGGGATTCACGGTGAATGGCGTTATTTTATCTTTGAACCGCTTCATGCCTGTCACATGTTGGGTCGCGCACACATTTTTCAGACAGGGGAAGTGAGCTGCATCACCACCGGCGAGTTGCATCTCCCACAATGACAGCTTCAACTTGAAAGAACGTATGCTGTCATAATACTGCGTGACAACTTTGTTGCGCCCTTGCAGCTGTTTGTTCAAGTTATTCAGGTGCTCTGTAACATCCACCATAAATGCAAGGTCCTGCATCCATTCTGCGGAATTAAATTCTAACACTGGTTTGCCCTTTTCTTCCATGAACTGTTCAATTTCTTCTCGTAAATCAAAAAAACGCCTCAGCACAGCAACTCGGCTTAACCATCTTACCTCAGTGTGGTATGGCAGGCCATAGATGTGGTCTTTCTCTCTGAGAAGGCTGTCAAACTGACGGTGATTCAGGCTTCTGGATCGGATGAAATTAACAGTTTGGATGACCACCTTCATGACGTTATCCATCTTTAATGACTTGCAACACAAAGCCTCCTGGTGCAAAATACAGTGAAAGTCAAAAAATCACGTCCTCCATTTGCAGATTGCACTTTCTCTCTGAACTTTGTCACAACGCCTGCTTTTTTCCCGATCATTGAGGGCGCACCATCTGTAGCCAGGCTGACAGCGCGGGACCAGTCCACTCCGACCCTGTCCAGCGCGCCGACGAGTGCGGTGAAAATATCAGCTGCTGTTGTTGTATCTGTCATCGGCACCAACTCCACGAACTCCTCGGTGACGGTCAATGTGTCATCAACTCCGCGGATGAAAATGGCCAGTTGTGCAACATCTGTAATGTCCGTGCTTTCATCAATTGCAACCGAAAACGCAATAAATGATTTTACTTTTTGCTTCAACTGGCTGTCCAAATCCACTGAAAGATCGGAAATCCTGTCTGCAACTGTGTTTCTTGTCAGGCTGATATTTGCAAAAGCCTGGCGCTTTTCAGGGCACACAATCTCCGCTGCCTTCATCATGCATGTTTTTACAAATTCACCCTCACTAAATGGTTTTGAAGCCACTGCGATTTCATTAGCAATGAGGTAGCTAGCTTTCACTGCAGCGTCACTGATGTCTCGGCTGTGAGTAAACACAGACTGCTGTTTCTTCAGACCCGCCAACAGTTCATTCACCTTCTCTCTTCTCCGCTGTCCTTGAAAGTTGTCATATTTGTCCACATGAAGACTCACATAGTGGCGACGAAGGTTATATTCTTTCAGCACTGCAACATGCTGTGAACACACCAAACATACAGTTTTCCCATTCAATTCCGTGAATAAATAGGAGGATGACCATTTTTCTTGGAACACTCTGCACTCTGCGTCCACTTTTCTCTTTTTTGACAGAGACATATTGGGGCAATGAGGGTGCCAAAGCACATAATGTTAATAGTAGAAGCCGTAATAAATATCGCGGGCAAAACAAAGTAGCTCATCCGGACTGGCAGCACTTGCTTGACCTACTTGCTCTGCCCCGGTATAAACAGTTTGCTTGCTTAACACAATTGCTATTGCGCCATCCAGTGGACTCAATTGGAACAGCAGTTTCTTTTATTGAAAAATTGCAGCGCATTTTTATACTTTACAAAATCATCTTGCGGGCCGGATTAAACCCGTTTGCGGGCCTGATCACGGGCCGGACGTTTGACACCCCTGATCTAGACGATCTAGATCTAAACCTAGAAAATAGAACATAGAACATACCACACAGAAAATACACACCCTGACTCAACAAATACGAGTCCCCAGAGTCAGGGCGTGACAATTATAAGTGAAATAATCTGTTGTTGGAAAAATTACTTGTGTCATGCACAAAGTAGATGTCCTAACCAACTGGCCAAAACTATAGCTTGTTAACAAGAAATTGGTGGAGTGGTTGAAAAACGAGTTTTAATGACTCCAACCTAAGTGTATGTAAACTTCCGACTTCAACTGTATATATTGATTTGTTTAGCGCTTCTTTGGTTACTACATGATTCCATATTTGTTATTTCATAGTTTTGATGTCTTCACTATTATTCTACAATGTAAAAAATAGTAAAAATAAAGAAAAACCCTGGAATGAGTAGGTGTGTCCAAACTTCGACTGGTAGTGTATATCTGTGTGCAATATAGTGCAATGTTACTCCATTTAAAAAGCACATATCCACACCACCACCATTACATACAGCACTAGTAGTAGTAGCAGCAGTAGATATTGTTGTCCTGCTGCTCAGAGTTGAGTTGAGGCCCTAGCCTCTCTGGTGGCATGGCCTTTGCCCTGAAGGGCCGAGTTGGAGAGAGAGAAGACTGCCTGTGACAACCCAGCAATCCCTGCTACTGATGTACTCCCCACCGACGGGACACATGCCTATAATTATAGGAAGCAAGGCTCCTTCAGTCCCAATCGGATTCCGGCAGTGGAGAGCCCTGGACAACTGCAGGAACAATAAGAACCCAGTCTCTCCAGGGCTGGAAGGGGTTCCTCCACAGTTTGACCCTACTGTGGAAGGCTGCTTAGCTCCAGACCTGCAGGGAGAAACCCAGGGTGGACTTTGATGGTGGTGGCTTGTCCTCAGGCTGCTACCCGTAGTCTAATTACACACTTACTTCAATAGCGATAATCATTGTTACACAATCCACAGGCAATCTACAGGCACGGCTGGACCGTACCCTTTTAAACATTTATGGTGTTTTCGCAGGTGCAATGAGTGGAACATTCCAAGCAGTTCAGAGTAGAGCCTCAGCGTTGTTTCTTTTAAGCATACTACTAGATGTACTGCATAACTAGGACCAGGAGATTTTCATGGCCATGTGTTTTTACCTGGAAAAACTCTGGGTTCTACGTTTTTCCTGGTCAGATCATGTGGACAGGAAAGACTCATGCCTTTATGCATAACCAGATGACTATACAACCAGTGGTGTAAAGTACTTAAGTAAAAATACTTTAAAGTACTACTTAAGTCATTTTTGGTGGTATCTGTACTACTTCTGTAAACTTTCACTTTTACTTCACTACATTCCTAAAGAAAATAATGTACTTCTTACTCCATACATTTATTCTGACCCCCAAAAGTTGTCGTTACATTTTAGCAGGACAGGAAAATTGTCAAATTCATGCACTTATCAAGAGAACACCCCTGGTCACCCCTACTGCCTCTGATCTAGCAGACTCACTAAACACAAATGCTTTGTTTGTAAATGATGTCTGATTGTTGGAGTGTGCCCCTGGCTATCCGTAAATAAAAATTAAAAATATTAAAATTGTGCCATTTGGTTTGCTTAATATAAGCAATTTGAAATTATTTATACTTTTACTTTTACTTTTGATACTTAAGTATATTTTTTGCAATTACATTTACTGTTGATACTTACGTATATTTAAAACCAAATACTTTTAGACTTTTACTGAAGTGGTATTTAACCGGGTGACTTTCACTTTTACTTGAGTCATTTTCTATTAAGGTATCTCTACTTTTACTCAAGTATGACAATTGGGTACTTTTCCCACCACTGTATACATTTACATTTTAGTCATTTAGCAGACACTCTTATCCAGAGCGACTTACAGTTTTAGTGAGTGCATACATTTTCATACTGGCCCACCGTGGGAAACGAACTCACAACCCTGGCGTTGCAAGCGCCATGCTCTACCAACTGAGCTACAAACATGAGCTGTGTGCATAAGTCATATTTTCATTGGATTTAGCTTGAGGTAAATAAAGGAAAGTAAAGGATGGTGCTTATTCAAGCCTGGTTGCCATTTCATGAATGCATGCGTGCGGCAGATCTCTAAGATTCATGTGGTATTCAACCAAAAAAACGTCTGTAATTAAATTAGTAACCAAAGCGTGGTGGCCGTCTCTACGTATGAAAGGCCTCACTGTCCCTCACTGATGGCTAGCTCTAATTGCACTCGTTTGTCATCAGCCTGTAGCTGATAAACTGGTGGTTGAACGAACTTGCATTAGAAAAACATCCGATGTGTTACAAGGTAAATGTAGGCTTAGCTCCACCTGCCTCACCTTGTCTTACACCCACTCACCTATCACAGATGTGAGCTCTCTCTGCTGGGAATATGCCTTTGCAGAGCTATAGCAGACGTGCCAGGGGATTATAGCTCCTCTCAAACAGAGAGTGATTAATGGTGATGGATATAATATAGCATAACTCCCAGCCAAGTAATCGGCATCCATGTTTATGTATCAAAGTAATTATTCATGGGAAGACTTTATCATGTTAACAGATTTGACTGTACTCTATATATTATTTAGCAGTATTTGCTATAGACGTTGACAGGGTTATGGATGTCAAGATATGTCTGGTACATAACTCCCTTACATAAGAAATTCTATCAATAATGAAATTGCAGGCTATTTTTGTTATCCAACATAATGCACCAATAGAAAACTATCACATTCAGTCATCAGTTTTGACAAATATGTATCTCTCTCTGTATCTGTATTTATCTCTGTATGTACTCTGTACCTCCCTCTCTCTTTTATTTCTCTCATTCTATCTCTCTCTCTCTCTCTCTCTTTCTTATTCCCTCGTTCCCCCAAACAGAAGGGGTCTTGTGATAATCTATGTCATCTGCGCTGAGCACCAGAGCTGTCTGATGCCCCATTACAAACACAGAGATTGTGCTGTGATTTGGGAAAACAAACAGCATTCATTCCCACTCGTTTCCATCTCATTCCCTGTGGCAAACTCAACCCAGCTACTTGTTTTGGAGGGAAAAAAATAAGGAAAAATAAAACTACCAGCATGATGCTCTCAAATTGCATATTGACGGAAGCAGTTATATGATGGAACATATTTTATTCCAGTGTTTCAGATCACATAAAACTGTAGTTATTGCAGATAAATTCAAGGGGGAATATATGGAATAATATGAGTATGCCTGCCTCTCGTACGTAAATGAATAGATCATAAAACTAATAGGAATGGTTTAATCTTTGTGGCGTAAACATTCGCAAAACCTTTGAAATGTATTTCGTCATTTGCAGCAAACATTTCTCAAAAGTCCAATAAGTACCTGAGGGCAGGAAAAAGGAGGATTATTTTAAGGATCTCATACCTTGTGTTTTGTGTCAATGCCAGAGGAACCTTTTGTGTTCTTCGAACTTTTGGAGACAGACTGCATTATAAACCTGTTTATTCGTTTTGTCATTCAACTTTGGTTGTTTGTCATGGTGCTTTTATCGGTAACACGTTACTTGACACCCATGGTCATAACCATGTCATAATATGTTATAACAGCTGACAGAACTGTCATAATATGGTCATAATACTGTCATGACCCATATATTTATACCTGTTGTGACATACAGTATGTTGTGTCATTTTATGGCTGGTTATGACACCTACATAACAGTGTCAAAACCCACATTTATTCAAATTAGTTTTTTCCCTACCAAGAAGTTTCCTTTTGTTTTGAAAGTTTGTTTCTTAAATCCTTTGTTGTTGTTATAATGAATTCTTTACAGTCATGTTTTTTTCATCATATTTTAAATAACTTGTAGAAAATACACTTTACGACACTGTCGTGAAGCATTATGACCATCATAATCATATAAGCCATGCCCTTATATCAGTCAAAAAGAGGGTGTTTTGTCCTGCTCCTGAAATCCGCTCCTGCATTCAACCCAGACATCAGCAACAGAGCATTGGGGTAGGTGCATGTCTGACATCAATGTGTACGCAATTACAATGATAATTTAATATGGTCAATTTCCCAAAACATAATATAACATCAACATACTGTTGACACGTAGGCTATGGTGTAATGGAATGTTTTGCCTTGTGTGGTAGGTTTTGTGGGTTTTGACACTCTTATGTAGGTGCCATAACCAGCCATAACATAACTACCTTGGTAGGTTTTGTGGGTTTTTACACTCTTATGTAGGTGTCATAACCAGCCATAAAATAACACAATATATGTCAGAACAGGTCTAAATATATGTGTCATGACAGTGTTATGACCATATTATAACAGGTTACGAGAAGTTATGTCAGCTGTTATGACATGGTTATGACTTTGTCATAACATGTTATGATGCTGGGTGTCAAGTAAATTCTTACCCTTTTATCCATCTCCTCCTCCGTTTTTTTTGTTCTGTGAAACATTATATTCAAGGTTCCTCTCAAGATTCAAGATGCTCTTACATGAGCACTGGAACCTATTTTTCATTTCAACAGAACAGCCATTGGCTTTGTCTTTATGTCCTGTAGAGATAAGAGTGGGGTGAATATGTGGCCGTGACCAAAAGCATTACTTTCTCAAAGTGCATCTTGCGGGACATGCATTCAGCCATGTCTTTGTTATTTTACAATGTTCCTCTTATCTTTTGATACTCCTCTCTTCAGTTAAGGGGAACAGATAAAGGAACTTTTATCAGGGTAGGACTGAAAATGTACTAGTACATATCGAAGATTGCCTCAAAAGTACATCTGCTTTTTGTCAGTTTAACCAGTCTTCACAAAATAATGGAGTCAGGTTGATGTAAGAATTGCTAATTAAAGACGAAATGTTAAATGGATTAAAATATATTTCTCAGATCTGAATTCAATTTGTTCAAACTCAGTATTAACTCAAAGTAAAACTTTATCAAATCACTTTTGGGAATCTGTCTGATTATAATTTTAACATATCCTCAAAGTACCAGTGACATATCCTTCAACCAATTTCATATCCCATAGGAGCAAAAGTAGTTTGGGTCTGTAGAGTGTCTCCTCTGTCCCCTTCCCTGACCCTACCCATGGCTCATTTTGGTTCATAAGCATGTCAGGCTAAACTTGAGCTCATGCTCTCCAACCTCTCCTAGAAAATCACCCTCATCTCACAGTAGAAAGTTTCAGTACTACCAAGATGACAGAAAGGGATGCCTGAGGGGGAATAAGAGACACGATTTGCATAGGAAATAATGCTTCCATCCCACATGAGGGAAATAAAGGAACTCTGCCTTTGAGGAATACATTATCCCCCCCACAGACTAGACCGTAACAAACAGTAGCAGGCTGTGGCAGTGGCAGTGGAGGTTAATCCTCAGAGTTAAACACTGAGTTTGTGCTTGCTAAATGGTCCTTATTAATGGTGCATTTTATCCCTGTGTCTCCCCTCCCCAATTTGTTCTATTCCCCCTCGATCACTCTGGCTGACACCTTTTCTTTCTTTCTTTCTTTCTTTCTTTCTTTCTTTCTTTCTTTCTTTCTTTCTTTCTTTCTTTCTTTCTTTCTTTCTTTCTTTCTTTCTTTCTTTCTTTCTTTCTTTCTTTCTTTCTTTCCATTCTCCAGGTCTGTGATGCAGTGGCTGAACAGGGTCCAGTCCTTCCTCTACTGCAATGAGAACAGTTTCTGGGGTACCTTCCTGGAGAGTCAGAGGATGTGCGTGTGCCACACGGGTGTCACCCTATGCCAGCGACCCATCCCATGTATCATCGGGGGCAACAACAGCTGTGCCATGTGCAGCCTGGCCAACATCTCTCAGTGCGGCTCCTGCAACAAGGGGTACAAGCTGTACCGAGGCCGATGTGAGCCCCAGAACGTGGACTCAGAGCGCAGCGAGCAGTTCATCAGCTTCGAGACCGACCTGGACTTCCAGGACCTGGAGCTCAAGTACTTGCTCCAGAAGATGGACTCGCGCCTCTACATCCACACCACCTTCATAAGCAACGAGATCCGCCTGGAGACCTTCTTCGACCCGCGGTGGCGCAAGCGCATGTCCCTGACCCTGAAGAGCAACAAGAACCGGATGGACTACCTCCACATGATCATTGGGCTCTCCATGAAGATCTGCCAGATGCGCAACAGCAGCATCGACCCCATGTTCTTTGTTTACGTGAACCCATTCAGCGGCAGCCACTCAGAGGGCTGGAGCATGCCCTTCGGCGAGCACGGCTACCCACGCTGGGAGAAGACGAGGCTGGGAAACTCCCAGTGCTTCAACTGGACCCTGCTGCTGGGCAACCGGTGGAAGACCTTCTTTGAGACGGTACACATCTACCTACGAAGCCGCGCCAAGGTGCCCACTGGGTTGCGCAACGACACGGGCCAGGGTCCCGTGGACCTGTCCGACCCCAACAAGCGCCAGATCTACATCAAGATCTCCGACATCCAGGTGTTTGGTTACAGCCTGCGCTTCAACGCAGACCTGCTCCGCAGCGCTGTGCAGCAGGTGAACCAGTCGTACACCCAGGGGACCCAGTTTTACTCCTCCTCCTCCGTCATGCTCTTGCTGCTGGACATTAGGGAGCGGATTAACCGCCTGGCCCCTCCAGTGGCACCCGGGAAACCCCAGCTGGACCTGTTTTCCTGTATGCTGAAGCACAGGCTCAAGCTGAACAACAGCGAGATGATCCGGGTCAACCACGCCTTGGACATGTACAACACAGAGATACTGAAACAATCAGATCACCTGACTACCAAACTCTGCTGAGATACAGTAAACAAACAAACAAAAAGAAGATTAAACAGACACTACAAATAGAACTGTTTGGGGTTATTCCTTTTTATTTAGTTGATTTTTTCCCCCCCTTTTTGGACCTTTTTGTTCTGCCTTTTGATGTATTATTAACAACTTTGTAATTGTAATTGTTAAACTGAAACTCAAAAAGGCAGTGATGAAGCCTTTTAGTTGGATAAAGAAGAAGATTAATGAAAACCACTTTAAAGACTGTACCATATTTTGTCCCAGCATGTCTGTCATTTCCTAAAAGAGCATAAAGAGAAAAAAATAAGAAAAACTATTAAATTCATCTCCTGGTGACAAAGAGGCCTTTATTTTAGTCTGAGGGAACAAAGGTTATATCTGAAACTGCCATTCTTTACTGAGTAAAACATTTTTAAAGATATAATAAAGTTGCATAAGGGCAGACCAGATATCATCCTTTTATTTCAGTTAATGTGCTTAATCAACAAACAAAATATTACAAACATGTAAAATGACAGTTTAATACAGTATGAAGGCATTCATACATTGTATGGGTAAATAGCCCAGCAAGCAAATACTCTAAGCATTAGCTATATAGTCTCTTTATAACATTAAAAACCCATGACAAGTCTGCATCCCTCTCTTTGTGAAGTAAGGTTTAAGGCACGTTGTTGCTGTACTTAAAGCATTGGCACACGAACGTGGCAGCGGATATTCATTTCATGTCAAATAACGGAAACCAGCTGTTTATATATGTGTATACCTTTATTTAGCTTGATGCTTATTGCTGTTCGTTAATTGAATGTGTCATTTGAGAGTGAGTGAATCCAGTCTAAGCTGAAACTTGTCTTTGGGCGCTACCTCCCATGCTTGAAATTCTACAGGCATTTCTTATGAGGTGGTTTCTTCTGGTGCCTGAGTGCAATATCGTGGTCTGAAGATGAACAATCAATGCTATTTCGTACAGCTTTGCAAAACGTACACCTTGTGACTGCTGATGTGTCAAGCTTTTCGGCACCAAGAGCAAATTTGAACATCAATCATTCACGTACATCTGCAACAGACACCATAAAAGCCATACATTTCCCTGAGGTAAACATAAGGCATGGAATGCCCTGTGATACATTTTTCTAAAACATGAAAAATGTCCCATTCGTGTATTTTATGTTGTTGTTATTTCCCCCAAATTCATTTCAAATGGAGGATAACACAGTGGACAGAGAGAGTGTATTCTGTGGGATTATGGGATGACATTGTAAAGCCATTGGATTTCTATTTCTATTAACTAGAGTGAACCCTTATGGGAAACGGTTATATAAAAGCTTCAAATACTTCTGTTGATTTTAATCTGTAAATCTACTTTCTACCATATGTACTTTTTTTTTTTTCATGCCACGTTGGATCTTAACTTTGAATGACCATGCAAATCAGATTGAACCCTCTGACAAGAGGCTGTTTAACCTTTCTAGGCATACTTTATCGAAAGCACTGGCATGACATATGTTTATAGCTATACATAGCTGCATAATTAAACATAGTATCAAACATCATACTATCTCAGAACTGTAAAGGACCACTACCTACATTATTAGTGTTATTAGTGTCATTATTATTATTATTAGTATTATTATTATTATTATTATTATTATTATTATTATTAAGTGCCTGTTACATATCCCTTTAACATATTTAGAGGAGGGAAATTGCTCTTAGTTTAGTTACTGTATACAGTAAAAACACATTACCACACAAGATAAAGACATTCAAAAGAATTCAGCAACTCAGACCACATCAATGCAGATCTGTCCCTCATCTCTGAGCCTGAGATACATGTTTTCTAGCTAAAGCCCTGCTGGTTTGTGCATGTGGTAAAATTACCCATCATCAAGAGATTGAAGTCTCAATTTCCTGACACTGTCTCTCCTATGTACATTATATCTGTAAATAGCAACTTAGTGTTGGTATAGTTATAACATCAAAGACTACGTAAATCATAGCAATTCCAAGAGAACAAAAGAGGCCAATATTAATGAGAATACCCACAATTACTGTTGGTGTACATTTGCACAAATTACAAATACACTCCATTCTTAAGAATTACTTCATTATGAATATCAGAGAGGGATGGCAATTTCTGACGGTTTTAATCAAAGTATACTATATGAAATATGAGTTAGTTTTGACCACGGCATACATGAAACAAGCACACATTTGCTATATCAGCATAACATCCCTGCAATGTCGCATATACCCATGGATACATTTGATTGAATATACAACTCCTAATATCTTGCCTATGTAATTTTTGCTGTTATGTTGAAATCATTATATCAGCTTATTTCAAATGAATGTTTCATATAATAATCAATTTCTCATTAAAAGGCTATATTTATGTGGAATAGCATTTATTTATTTATGTATTTATTCAAAAACTCTCTATTTAGATTATCACAGACAACACCCACACTGTACCTCATTCAACCCTTGTGGGCAGTGCTGATAACAAGGACTAGTTGTTGTGATGTAACTGTAATTTAGCATTTGATTGAAGGTTTTATTTTTGATGGGATTGGTGGATAATTGCTCAAATATGTTCCAGTGAGATATGCTGTACAGTACGATTGAGTGGGATACCGTATATGTATCCCGGGGTATTTCAAAATACCCTCGGTAATATTTCTCAATACCGTCAATACCATTGTTTTTTATACGTTTAAATATTTGTTATTTTTAAATAACTACCTGCAGTCAACTTGTGCACTAGGTAATAGATAAAGCAGATTGCGATCCTCATTTCGCCTGTTAGATTATTTATCATTATGATGCTAACCGGTGCTAGTTTCCCAAAACAGCTGTTAGAGCCAGTCACGTGTTTGTTTACAAAGAAGCACAACGAGCAAAGCGGGAGCTTCGTGAGGAGAGTTAGTCCTGCTGTGCAACTTAAGTTAGGTGATCAAGATACACTTGTATGAAACTACTAATGTTTGCGATATATCACATAACTATTAAGTTAACTATCTAAGATGTGCAAAATAAATTATCTCCAGCTGGGTTTTGCTAACTTGTTAACATTAGCTAAGTGGCTAAAGTTAGCTTGCAAGATCAAGCTTCTTGGTAACACCAGAGACCTTCCCCTCCTGGATTAATATCCCTGCTGTATAATTTCTGTTTTGTACGTGCTGCAAACTGCTTTTTTAAATACTTGCATAACTTTATGAACAGGGTTGTCTGTCCTAGTAGTTAATGTTCGCATGCGCTCATTAGCATTTACCTAGCATCCACTATGGGAATTCCATAGTACTTGTTAGCATTTTGTTAGCATTCTAGTAACTGAAGTTTTGTCCTTTTCTTTACACACACACAAAAAAAATGTCCCCTTGTGTGCACTGCCGGTAATACTGTCTTTCCCGGAATGGCACAGGCACGGTATGAAAGTATGGAAATCTAGATACCGCCCAACTGGAGTTTGAAGTACGGGGCCCCGGCAGGTCTCAGAACCCCTGAATGAGACATGAGTCCCCCTAAATGCAACAAAGTCAAACTTTGGGGGGTCTCTGAGTAATGCTAATTTAACTATTCTCCTATTTGTTTAAAATGCAATTTGTACTGCTACAGTGGTAAATATTCAAATAAAAACGTATTCCAAATTAAACAAACACCCCCACCTCTGTGTCATGGTAAAAAAGAAAAATCCATGTGGCTGCACTTGTCATCCTCAGACAGTCCCGTATCTCAGCCCCTTTTCAGGTGTCCCAACTTTTCTACAAAAAAATATAATTTTGTCAGCAAGACACATTAATTAATTCAGGCTACAAGAGTGTAGACCCAATGACAATTGCTGAATGTCATTACACTTCTTGGTGTTTTGTAACAGATGAGTGCACAGTGCACTGTTTGGATGCTGGAATTATTTTGGAGTGGATAAACATGCGCAGGTACGCTACTTTTTGAAGTGATTTGTTTGACAATAGGTTGAAAACATAATGACTGGTTGTGTTCATTCCAAATTAAAAGGTCACTTTTTTTTACCATTAAATGACTGTCTACTATTAGGCCCGTGAAAAAAGTAGAGACCCCCAAATGTCACGGTATAATTCGCACTCTGCACCCAATCCTACTGTTTAGTAAAATAATGCTTACCACTGTGTTGTGGAGTGCCTCATCTAAAGGTTGGTTTACCTTCAGCTCTTCAGTCACTCACCTCGCTGTAGGTAGCAGTCAGTATTTGTAAATTGGGTTGCACATACAGTACAGTACATCATTTATTAAAATCAGCTTATTCATTACTAATTTCTACAATACAGACCACACAGACCTCACCCTTGCATCAATTGCAGGGGACTGTGAGAAACTCAAACAGGCCTTGCAGTTTATATATCTTTGCAGCCCTCCCATGGCCAAAATGGGTGCTTACACTAGCTCCAGAGCAGAACAGAATGGTCACGTCCTCTGTCTTTTTTATGCGTCTGTCAATATTCTTTCCCTGATGACTAACATGGCACGCTCACGCCACGGGCTGACAGCTGTAGCAGAACACTGGATCATTGGATGAATGTGATGCCCTGGTGACAACTTGTCCCACTTTAGCAAAGTACCAGAGGAGTTGACGCTGCATGGGCACTCACTATGAACAATGTGTCTGTCACAAGCTTTATTTCTGTCATGCCAAGATTATCATCATTTCCTTAAAATCTGCACTAAAATGGCCCTGGCATATAAGAGTAAGACTTAAGAATGCATAAGAGCTCAAATTAGAAAAATAACAATCTTTTCAAGGCATAATGTTGTATTTAATTGGCCATAAGTAATTTTGAGAAGTTCTACAAGGGCCCATTTCCTTAAGAAACTGCGATCGTTTTGCCTGTGAGGCTTTCACTGAGACCAGCTCTAATGCATCTTCACAGTTTAAGATAATAATAGAGGGAAACCATTTTGGAGGAGCGGGGAAGCGTTTACAAAACTAAACTAAATTGCAATAAAAGCTTGGTGAACAAAGGATTCAAATA